TCGAAGAGTAAAAAAAATTGAACAGATGTTTCCAATCGTGAAGTGATATTTGTAAAACGTGTCACAAACAGCAAGTATTATCTTGTTCTAATTTACATTATTTTAAATTTGTAGACCCAATAAATTGATGTTGTTAATGGTTAACCCTTGTAAAATAAATTTTCATTTTACTTCTACTGCAATCAAATCTACCTATCATTTGATCAACATTGTTTTTTCAAAATGAGTGTCGATCTTTTGTATAAAAATGTCTACTTTGGATCAAGCAAAATAAAACTAGTATTTATTCAATTCAACACAAAAATGTGACGTAGTACACAATGGGTGAAGTCGTATATGTATTAATAGAACAAAACCATATGGAATAATGTTTTGATGCTTTCCTAAATATCCTGTAAGCTATCCTGAAATTATTATTACTCTGTGAGGAAAAAAGTAAACAAAGTACACCACTATGAAGAGATATTTAATCAGGTAATCTTAGCATGATTATTGAGTATTCAATACTAATATGCCAACATAACCCACATACCCCTTTTGCCTCTACGTCAATCTCTTTGCTTGTTTTGTTGATTGTTTCAGGTCCCTCGATAACTTGCGCACTTGCTTATAACACAGTCGATGTTTTCGGACCCTGTTGTGAGCAAGTCACAGAGGGAGTGGTGTGTGTGTGTGTGTGTGTGTGTGTATACACACACACACACACACGCATATACACACAATTATATGTCTATATATTATTTTTTTTAACTTTTTTTTCTCTTCAGATATTCTGGCATTTTCTTTTTACAGCAATAGTTTCAAATGTCTGTATTTCCCCAATTTCTCAGAAGAGTGTGAATTTTAACATGAGGACAATATGATTTCCCAAATGACCGATCAATGGATTGATTTAATATACTGCTCCAAGAAACAATTAAATGTGAATTCTTCCAATTTCTGCAATACTCCAACAGATATTCATTATACAGGTGCTTATTCAAACAATATTCTTCATAGATATTGAATAATTTGATTAAATGGATTGACGGAAATCATGGAGAAAATGCAAATGAGGACGATCGGACCAACCATTTAAAAAAAAAAAATTAAAAACTTGTGCATTGGACAAGATATTATGGAAACCACAGATAACCTGCACAATTTTCCCACAATGTAGACATATGCATCCATCAATTTAACAGACCTTTCTTTTGCCCTTCTCCCAAACGATACAGCATTAAATAGAGATGGAAGCTAACATAGATGTCATGCAGAAACCCAAACCTTTGTTGTCATCTATCCCTTTTATTAAAATATCATGAACCGCCCTTAATCAAAGTACATGTAATCAGCTTACATGGAATAGTCCAGATTATATATGGAAATATGGCCTTTTAACCTAACTCCTTCCATGATTGTTGCATTGAGAATCTGAAACCGTCATTCCTCATCATACTCAATGTGATTCCTCTCTCTCAGTAAGTAAAAAGGATTTTTGGTTAGAAGAATAACAGTGACAAATGGATGGACAGTTAGACTTGACAATGTACCTATCACAATATACCTGCACATGTGCAAATATAATTATTTTAGATAAACCTCTTAAGTCTCTTAAAAATTTTTAAGTTGAGAACTTCTCAATGAATGACTTTTAAAACAGTCAAAATATGTGTCAGAAATTATAAAATATAATTATTCCTCAAAAGCAATTCATCCAATAAAGTTTCAAGACTGCTTTATATTTATCTACATTATTTATTTTCCTTAAATTTTATACTTACCAATACAGGACATGGAGCTTTGAATTTATTTTGATGAATAAGCCAGTCCTCATGGAGTACATGAAGAGACTGTAGATAATCCTGAAATAAACATTTAAAATTTCTTCATTTTGACCCCAAAACGTGAGTGCATTTTCTAATGACAACTTCTGATCTTACTACCCATAACTATGGTAACTTGGCCACATATAATTTGTCATTAATGTACATCTTTTAATATGACAAGGCTCCTGCCACTGTAATATAAATTTGTTATTTCCCTCACATGATGGACTAGTACCTTTGCATGACAAACTAGTGCTTCCACATAATATTCAAAGAAGCTTAGGATAAAAGTGTTTCACTGAGGATCAAATGAGGGAATCTGTGTCCCCATGTCCTACAACCCTGGAGAAATACAAAAGGTCCGCGAAAAAGTTGCTTTCACTATAAAACCTTTTTAAAAAATTCAGGAGATGCAGTGAAAACTTAAAGGAAAACTGAAATTCACTTTTTTTAAAAAATCACTGATGATGTCATTAAGGAGCATCTAATTAAACAAATGCCATGAATTTACTATTTGTGGTGAGGCACCAATTTTAGTTAATATAATGGTTGGTATTAAGAATTTAAAAACCATCAAATAATGTTCCATCTGTGGAAACAGCAGTACCCTCTTCAAAATCCTCAAATTTAGCTAAATAGGAAAATTGACCAAGCCTACTTTATATGTGTTGGATGGGGGGACAATATTTTAGGCTGTGCATGTATAAATTAGTATTTCAGCCTAGTGATTACATATGAGGCACTTGTTGAAGATCAATAAAATCTGCAGACGCCTGCAACAAAACATTGTCCACACATTTTAAAATCTGTTATTGTTTTCTAAAAAGAGAAACAACTGGGTGAGAAACAATGCTATTGGGAGAGTCAATATATGCTCAGCCTCCAGCTTAATCCAATAATGCCAACAAAAAAAAACATCACATCCAAAGTAGGCTCGGATGTGGTCTATTATTTTCTACAAGCATTAGGCCTTGTGTATATTTGCATGTTTAAAAGGCTAACCAAATACCTACTAAAATCAACTACCATCACTTTATATGTAAATCAACTTGTATAAAATTTCTTGTTTAAATTTATTCACTATAAAATATTTTTTTTTATACTATTATTACAATAGTTTTATTAAAATAAATTTCTTGGATAATGCTCAATCTCCCATTTTAGGAATTCCACAAAGGTAACATATAATCTATATGCAGCAGACGTCAATACTAAACGATATGAACAGCTTTCAAATATCATACATCATCTCCTAATGTTCCTCTCACCACTTTTAACTATATATTAATATGGTTCCTCTAGATACCGGTTGTGTGGAAAGGAACAATCAGCTAATCCCCATTTCTAAGACTTGCAGATCTACTGAGATAATGTAAAAGTATGTATGTAACATAAAGTCTTTACTCTGAAAAAGGAGGGATTTTCAAACAATAGCTTTTCCTTTGCTTACAACTTTTGAGTACAGTGGGAAAATAAACTGAATATGAATGTTTTATGCATTCATATCATAAATATTCATATACATTAATGTTTGTACCCTTGCTTTTGCGAAGAATATTAAAACAGCCAGTTTTCAATGAAAGCATGCCAAACTCTAATTCTGTTGAAGAAACAAATTAAACTTAACCATATGTCCCACATCCCAAGTAAAAGCCAATGCCTGAAGTAGACTCATAATAACAAAGAAAAAAGAGGTATACAGGTTAATTGAATCTGTATTTTCATTTACCTGGCAATTGTCATCTTCCCCACATATTAGGAAACTACTTCATTCCATTATCAATTAAGACTGCTAAATCATTCTTACTATATACACTTTTACAACAACCACATAGCTATGCAATGTTATTTTTACACCAAAACAACGTTATGTCTGGAAGAGTTATCTACCTTTGCAAGTGTCTGTCATTTGTCAATAATTGACTTTGGATGTGTACTTTGTTCCTTTTCATGGAGGGTATGTCTATGTAAGCAACAGTGCCTGCAATACTGAAACCTGCAAAGTCTGAAATCTCAGCGCCAGATGAGTTCAGTGATGATATACCATCTTTGTTGCAGCAATTTCTATAATTGTACAGAGGCATGACATAAATTCACCTGACGAACACTGGAAGGTTGCAACATAATTTGCACATCTAACAATTTCATCTAATTCTAACTATTTAACAATTCAAAAGATACACTCAATGAAATAATATCCCAAGATTCACTAGCCTTGGTCAAAAAGAGGTTTGTTTTTATATCAGACATTATAAACACATACTGGAACGTCTTTGTGACCAGACCAATATCATCTGGGTCCAAAACTAAGATACACCACTACTGAGCTCATAGTATGTACTCGTACCAATCATTAAATATTCCTAATTCTGAAATGCCTCTGGAAGAAATAGCTGAATGACCGAGTGTTAATAAACAAATAATGTAATGGCCAAAGAACTGGCAAAAGTGAAAACTTCCCAAAAATCTAATATATCTAGAATCAAATGTTATCCATGAACTGACATGTAACCAACTCTTATTTGAAAAAAAAAATCACCAAATTTTTCATCCAACTAAAAACATCCAAACTGGAAAATTTTACAGAAAATTTAAAGTTCTCATTACACTTTTACAGTGTATCGTATCACTGATAATAAAGTTTCACCTCTAAATTTTTTCTTCACCTGGCCCAAGGTTCAAACAGTCAACCCCATATATTTTTTCAAGCCGATTGACTTGCTGACACAAAAATCAATCTGAAGCACTGCAGTTTGACCTGGTCTCACTTTAGATATACCCTCCTGTGCAAAGGTCACATGATCTTTTTTTTGTTTACATGTCCTTTTCTGCATCCACTGTCTCCCAAATTTGTATACTATTCATAACAGGCATTAATGTATGCAGTAAATTTTAGCTTATTGGCTATTCTAAATAAATGTCTCCTAACCAAAATGGTGAAAATGTGATTATGATGTGATGTGATTATGATTTTTATCGTAGCTTTAACAATTTTTCAGTCATATCGCTACGATGTCTGCAATGTGGCAGTTTATGTGATGTCTAGCACTGGGGCATCATGCCAGACATGTAGCATGATGTCCCACCCAGTCACATTATCCTGACACCAGGCCGACCAGTCCTAACACTAACCTCTTAATGCTGAGCACCAAGCTTGGCAGCTGTTAGTACCATTTTTGTAAGTCTTTGGTATGACTCGATCGGAGATCGAACCCACAATCTCAAGCTTTCGAGGCGTACACTCTAACCACTAGGTCACCGGAGTGGTCAATTTTAGCTAAATGGCTATTCTAAATGTATGTCTCCTAACAAAAATGGTGAAAATGTATAAAGCTATTGCGCAAATTGAATTCTGACAAATGTGTCCCTTTAATCACATGTACCACATGTACCCTATATACTGCTTAACATTCTTTCCTAATTTTCAGGATACATATATTTTTGTTTCCCAGCCAAATCCAAATGAATGAAAAACATTTTTTACTCAAGCTGACATCAACAATGTTTATATGCACCACATATTTAGCACAGGCAGTGAAAACGATTGCCAGTGAGTGAACATGCTGTGTACAAAACATACTAAGAATTTGTTTATGATTTTGGTACTGGTCTTTTGTTACCATTTCAAGCTGCATGGAGAATTAAAAGAATTCTGGTGTATAAAGCAATGGTATATCTTGATGCAACTTGCCAACTTGTTATAATTCTCTCCAAATCTTCATTATCACCTGGACATAATGAAGGATCATTTCTGTCCAAAAGAGATACCTTGTGCATCCATAATACAAACCATGTGACAATACAACCTCCAAATGCTCAGTATCAGACTTGTGGGGTACTTACAATAGGAACACTCTGTTCTTCGTGTCTATTCCTGGATCTTATTCTATCTTGACATGTCTTGGGAGATGCTTGGAGATAAACTGCAACATTTAAAGGCAAATTTGGAATGAACATGAATTTAGTTTATTCAAGAATGCTTTATATGGAACATATATATCAACAAAAATTAAGATAAAAGATCAATACAAGGCTCAAAAGGACCCAAGATCTGACTACCATCTAAGTCAAAGTCAAACGAAGAGAACCAATTTTTATTTATGTAAAATATTTTTTTTATTATTCTGATTGCACAAATCCAGCCCTCTCAAGCCAAATGGTTCCTACAATCATCTTGACTTGGTTAAGCAACAACGGTGTTAAAAAGTCATTTTTTGCTTAAAAGAATATATAAGACAAAATTTGTCTCTCCTTGAATATGAGGACTGATGCAAAAAAAACAACCTTAGTCAGTAACTACTCAAACAGAGGTGCACTATATAACCAAGACAAGGCATCACTTTAACAGCCTGGGAGGACTGGATTTGTGAGGTAGCGGACGATTCCTTTCATAATATAATTAAGTAATGTATCTGAAGAAATGGGATCAGTATATTTTCCGACATTTAAAGGTTCTTATATATAAACTTTTAACAATAACAGCTAAACTCAACATTATATCAGCAAGATGAAAACATTTATGAAAACTTGAAGTCTACCAGGATGTTTTATGTGATTTTTGGTCAATAGAATAACTGGCTTTTTAGACATCATTTGAAGCTCTTTATACTGTTTTTTAATAGTGGCTGTTTGAAATGAATTGGCATCTTATGGAAAAATGATGGACTTGCATCCCAGAACGCTTTCTGTGAAATCTGGTCCAATCCAACAGTAATTGGAGAAAAAGTCACTATACGGTTTTGTTAACAGTGGCCATATTTGACCATCAGATCATTTTAACAAATGTGAAATGCATTCACAACCAGTTGCTTTCGGTCAAATCTGATCAAATTCTGTTCAGCAACCTAAGAGAAGTTGTTGGAAAATATTTATTTTGTCAGTGACCATATCTGATTGTGAATCAGCATCATTTGTTCAATAGGTGTTCATACTAAGATGCTCTCTAGACAAATGGCAGTCAATGCAGTGCAAACATGATAATATCATAAGATCTCCTGATTTGTAATGATCTGGTGAATTCAAAAATCTATACTGTATTTCCCCTATGTCATGACTGGGACCAAACAGTCAAAGTTGGGCAAGGCTTCATGTCAGACAAAGGTATCTTTGGTGAATATTTATCCAAAAGTTGTAAAAATGGCATCAGTGTTTGTCATCCAGTATGGATTATCATAGGATAAATACAAGGTAGTCCAAGGCAGTTGATTTTGATCTTATCCAAAACTAGGAGATTACTCATTCATTCAAAATAAGATGTGTATCCATAATTTTATTATGTCATCATTGTCCAGTATAAACCTCTGTGCATAATAGCCTATTACACCATAGAGATCCATTTAACAGCTTATATTCAAACAGACCTGGTTTAAGAGTCAATTATATTGCAGATAAACTCAGCAAATTATTATTGCAATAACTAACAAATATTTCTAGAGTAAAGAGATTGGTCGATACATGCATCTTCAAAACAATATGACATGTACATTTCATTTTGATCAATAAAAACTTGAGAATATTTGTGTTCAGAGGATTTTATGATACAGTACACGAAGCACAAAGTCAAAAAGGATAGTAATTCTTAACAAAACTCACTGACGTGAAGTGATTTGTTTGATTTGCAAGCATTCAATGTTCATAGCCTTTGCAAAGTTTCATGGAAGTCAACTGAAATCTGTGAGACCAACTACATTTGTAAGATTCGATCATAAAGAACAGTCCGCTATAAATCATATGAGATCAGTAAATCAATAAACTCAGTAACTCAATAAAAATTGGGGAACACAGTGACCTGATAAGTGCATATTCGGGTGATTACCACGATATTTTAAATTTCATACACTGCATTAAGCTACAAAACAAAAGAGCTATAAATTAAACAAACATTGCAGGTTCAAAGTGATTTGCCAAAGTGAACTATTTCAAGCGATAACCATAATATTTAAAAACTGTTATGGCAATCTTTATATATTGTTTGACTAGGTATGGTACGATATTTTGTCATAGACTGCATTAGGCAAGAAGACAAAAAGGGAAATTACTGGAACAAATATTGTTGGCACATCTTCATGTGATGACTGCAATATTTATCATATCCATCAAAACCTACAGGACAAGTTGTGCAATATGAGATTGTGTCAAAAGCTGCATAGAATACTTGCCAAGTTTAATGACAATCTATCAAATTATATGTTGTATTGAGATTGTAGCAAACTGCTTTAAGACAAAATCGGTAATAGCTGTAACAAACGCTGCTGAAGCAAAGTGATTTGTTGGCACATCTTCATGTGATAACTGCAATATTTATCATATCCATCAAAACCTACAGGACAAGTTGTGCAAAATAAATTGTGTCATATGCTGCACTATTAATTTGTTGCTTTGTGCATCTCCAAGTGAGGATCACAATATTATAAAAGCTGCATAGAATACTTACCAAGATTAATGACAATCTATCAAATTATATGTTGTATTGAGATTGTAGCAAACTGCTTTAAGACAAAATCGGTAATAGCTGTAACAAAAGCTGCTGAAGCAAAGTGATTTGTTGTAAGTGCATCTTCAGATGATAACCACAATGTTACCATGACAATCTATTAGTTGTACTATGAGACTGTGTACCTGATGAAAGGATAAACAGATGGCCATGTTGAGTACTATATACTCCAGCCTCTAGATAGAGGTGGGTGGAGTGTGGTATAAAACTGGGAGGTGAGTTCTGAATACATGAGGAATTTAATCAAGAAATAAACAATGGTAAGGCTTGAAATTGAGACTTTGCATATATTTGTTTTATTTTTCAGTGTTATTTTGTGAGACATGAGTAAGAATTCTGCAATAATGTGTTTTACAATATACCATGCTATCCATGTCCCATCCCAAATTTTTTTTTATTTTACCTCTGATCATAATTCAAGTGCTTATTACTTGACCCCTAAAGATCAGGCAGCTTACCAATTAGGTCTACATGCATATCCTGGTTTTCTTGAATCCAGTTGTAGAATTCGGACAGAATGGCATAGTCAACCTCTGGCATCAACTTACTGAAGAAAAAAATTTGCGGATTAATTACCTTATCACATTAACATCAGAAAATAATCCTGGCTTTGTAAATTCAGTCCTACCAGAAAGAAGAAAATTAAGTCTTTTCCATCTATATGCCATATTGACAAAGGGAAAAAACTCCTACCTATTATCTCTCCTTAAAACTGTTGAGTTGTTACACACAAACGAAAATGTTTACCAGTAATACATCAACCAAGAGGAGGCTTGCATAGGTGGGGTGGTGTTAGTTTTATAAAAGTTAATGTAATCGGGTTAGAATTCACAGAAAAAGATAATACAAAATTTACTTTATCTGTTTAATAAATTCCCCAAAAACACTTTTTAAAAAGAATAGGAAATAGCTGGTGGAAATGCACAAGCATCCAATATCTACCACTGGAACAGCATGAGAAAATTTGGATTCCTATTTAAAAATTAAAACTGGTGATTACTTGGGCTACTACTACTGGGTCTACCAGCTTAAATTCTCATCTCTGTGAAGCAAGATCTTGGAGAAGAAAAATAAACTTTAACCAGTTCACTGCGCATGCCAGTCAATTATATTGTCTCAGATTGAAGTATCGTGGCTTGAACATAATGCTCCCAGTAATCACTCTAATTCTATGCCGAGATCTTTGTGATATGTATCCAATGTTTTGATATCTCAGAGTACATAAAGTGTATTACACACTATAGCCCAGGATTCAATGTTTTGATATCTCAGAGTACATAAAGTGTTATTACACACTATAGCCCAGGATTCAATGTTTTGATATCTCAGTGTACATAAAGTGTATTACACACTATAGCCCAGGATTCAATGTTTTGATATCTCAGAGTACATAAAGTGTATTACACACTATAGCCAAGGATTCAATGTTTTGATATCTCAGAGTACATAAAGTGTTATTACACACTATAGCCCAGGATTCAATGTTTTGATATCTCAGTGTACATAAAGTGAATTACACACTATTGCCCAGGATTCATACACCTTTTGTGTGACAAATTTCAAGGACTTTTCAAGGACTTGATTCATTTTTTTCAAAGGAACCCAAGGCCCAATACACTTTAGGTATATTTATCAATTGCCATTTAAAGGATTAGTGAGTGTTGCAATTCATGACAAAGGGCTTCCTAATATTTGTGCATGAGGCTTCAGACTTTATAATAGAGAATTAAAAAAACACAAATCTTAGGAAAATAATAACACTTTATTTCTAAGAAA